TATGAGCCGAAATCATGCCACTCTATTCCAGCCTGGGTGATAGAGCAAGACTCCATCTCAAAAAAAAAAAAAAAAGTTTCAAATATGATAGTAATTGCAATAAGTATAAATAGATTAAATTAGCCTATTACAATACCAGCCTATCAGATTGAATTAAAAATATAGCTATATTCTACTTATAAGAGACATACCTAAAGAAAAATGGTGTGGACAGATTTAAAATAAAGGGATGGAAAAAGATATGCTGAAAAATACTATGAAAGTTGGCGTAGCAATAGTAATATCAGACAAAATAGATTTTCAGGACAAAAAGACTAGGGATGATGTACTCGTTTGTAACGTGGAATACTTCTTCCCCACTCCTGATGTTTCCTGTGGCATAGAGGGAATACTTCCGTGTAACACCCGGGCTGTCTTCGCCCTCTTTGATGGGCGTGTTTGGGAGCAGGAACTCACATGTGTAGCTGTGTTCCTTCCCCCTTTTCCTCTTGGACCGAGCTGCCCTGAGGGTGGTCTGTGCAGTAAGTCTCACCCAGCAGCCTCATGGGAGGGGTCTTGCCCCTGACCAGCACTGCCTGTGACTGGGTGGGTAAGTTGGGCTGATTCTGGTATTTAGTTAGACCCGTTTCATCTTCACTCTAAGCTGTGTGCTCCCACGTGGTAGTGATTTTGACTCCGAACACCTTCCTGTGTTGTTTCTTTGCTTTTGAATTTGTTCAGAAACTGGGCAGGGAAAGAGTCGTCTTTCTAGGTCCCCCAGAGGCCTTGGCTTATGTGATAATAAAGAGGGCACGTTCTGTTCTTCATCACCCGGATGTTCTGTGAACATGCTCTGTCCACCCAGAATAGCTAACAGTCATGAACTTGTACTTAATAACATGATCTTGAATTTTAAAAAGCAAAACGGAGAGAAATAGAAGAAGAAGTAGACAGATACTCAGGTATAGTGGGAGATTTTGACGACGTTGCTGAGAAACCAGTGGATCGAGCTGGCAAAAAATTGTGAGGTTATGGAAGACTTGAACGATACAGTTAACAAATTCGATCTTGGCTAACATGTAGTCCTGCTCTTAACAAAAGAAAAAATACAGTTTTTCAAGCTCATGTGGAGTGGGAAAAAGTAAAAGTCCATGTATTAAAGTCAACACATTTCAAATAATATCATTTAGATTATGTTCCTTGAATATAAGACAAATTATCAATAATTAAAATACTGGAGAGGAAAAAATCTCATATTTGGAAAGTTAAAAACTTTAAAAACATAACTAATGGACTAAAGAGGAGATCACAAAAGAACTGACAAAATATTTAGAACTACATGACAGTGAAAATACTATGTATCAAATTGTGTGGGCTGCAGTTAAAGTGGTATTTAGAGAGAGATGTATAGTTCTAAAAGCACTTTAAAAAAAGATTAAATGAGTAAGTATGTAGGTCAGGAAGTTGGAAAAAGAGTAGTAGAAAAACTCTGAAGAAAATAGAAGGAAGGAAGTAAAAAAGACGAGAACAGACTAGTGAAGTAGGAAGCAAAAAAAAAAAAGGATAGAGATAGTAAAAGAAAAAACCCGAAAGGTATCTCTTTGAAAAGACGAATAAGATTGATAAACCTCCAGCTAAAACTGATAAGGGAAAACAAGGAAAAGATACAAACAGGCTGGGCACAGTGGCTCACGCCTGTAATCCCAACACTTTGGGAGGCTGAGGCAGGTAGACCATATGAAGTCAGGAGTTTGAGGCCAGCCTGGCCAGCATGGTGAAACCCCATCTGTTTCTACTAAAAATACAACAGAATTAGTCAGGCACCTGTAATCCCAGCTACTCGGGAGGCCGAGGCAGGAGAATCACTTGAACCTGGGAGGCGGAGGTTGCAGTGAGCTGAGATGGCGCCGTTGCACTCTAGCCTGGGCGACAAGATTGAAACTCCATCTCGAAAAAAAAAAAAAAGAAAGAAAGAAAAGATACAAATAGTATTGCAGCAGTAAAGGTGAGGACAATTACAAACAGAGATGAAGTCTTCAGAGAATACCAAAAACAACTTTGTACCAATGTGCTTAATGCTTTTATATAAAAATATAAATTACCAAAACTGACTCAATAAGGAGTAGAAAACCTAAACATTTACCACTGAAGAATTTGAATTAGTACCCAAAAGTATCCTCCTATAAAAACAGCAGGCCTAGAGATGTCACAGACTAGTTTTAGCAAACTTTTAAGCAATGAGAAAATTTCATTTAAACTATTTAAAAGGATCAGGCTGGGCGTGGTGGCTCACGTCTGTAATCCCAGCACTTTGGGAGGCCGAGGTGGGTGGATCACTTGAAGTCAGGAGCTCGAGACCAGCCTGGCCAACATGGGGAAACCTCGTCTCTATTAAAAATATAAAAATTAGCTGGACGTAGTGGTGCATGCCTGTAATCCCAGCTACTCAGGAGGCTGAGGCAGGAGAATTGCTCGAACCCGGGAGGTGGAGGCTGCAGTGAGCCGAGATGCACCACTGCGCTCCAGCCTGGGCAACAGAGCGAGACTCCGTCTTAAAAAAAAAAAAAAGGATGAGAAGCTACCTAGCAATTTTATAAGACTGCAATAACACCTTGATGTCAAAACCTGGAAAGGAAAACACAAGAAAATAAAAAATAGGCCGGTGTTGCTTTTGAACAGAGCTGTGAAAATCTAAATAAAATATGGTAGTCTCCTCATATTCGTGGGGGAAATATTCCAAGACCCCCAGTGGATGCCCGAAATATCATATAGTCCCAAACCTGATTGCCATCAACAGAAACACCTCTGTTTATATCTTTCGCCCACACATGTCATCCTTTTTTCATCTTAACTAAGCATTTATGCACTGTGGCCATAACTTTTGCAGTTTGAGGTGCAACAGCAAAACTAGCAATAATTTTCTTTTTCCTTCTTCACAATTTCATCCGTACCATGGATCTCAGCAACCTTAGCATAGAATTTTCTTTCCTAATTAAGAACTTTCACCTTTCGACTTAAAGGAGGCACTTAACAGTTTCTCTTTGTCATATCCGAAGTGCCAGCATCACTCATGGGCCTTGCACTTTGGGGCCATTATTAGTATGATAAGGGTGAGGGTGACTTGAACACAGGCAGTGAGATACTGCAACGGTCCATCCGATCACTGAGATGGCCGCTAAGTGACCGATGGGTAGGGAGCGTGTAGGGCGTGGATACGCTGGACAAAGGGAGAATTCACGTCCCAGGTGGATGCACTGGGATGGCGGAAGATTTCATCATGCTGTTCAGGACAGCACAAAATTGAAAACTTATGAATTATTTCTGGAATTTTCCCTTTAATATTTTTTTGGCCGTGGTCGACCACAGGTTACTGAAGCTGGGGGAAGCAAAACCGTGGATAAGGGGGACTGCTGTATTAATAAATGGAATTCAGCCGGGTACCATGGCTCACCCCTGTAATCCCAGCACTTTGGGAGGCAGAGGCGGGTGGATCACCTGAGGTCAGGAATTCGAGACCAACCTGGCCAACATAGTGAAACCCTGTCTCTACTAAAAATATAAAAAATTAGCCAGGCATGGTGACGGGCACCAGTAATCCCAGCTACTTGGGAGCCTAAGGCAGGAGAATCTCTTGAAACCGGGAGGCGGAGGTTGCAGTGAGCCAAGATCGTGCCATTGCACTCCAGCCTGGGCAACAAGAGCGAAACTCTGTCTCAAATAATAAATAAATAAAAATAAAAAATAAAAAAATTCAGGATATTAAAAATAATATGTCAGAAGTAAGTGGACTTTTACCCATTGAATCAAAAAATGGCTCAACAGAAATGTAATTCACCAGGTCAACAGATTAAAAACCATATGGTTATCTCCTCAGATGCAGAAAAGCATTCAGTAAAATCCAGCATTTTCATAATGTGCTAAATGAATCAGGGGATCAGGCTAAATTTAGACTCTCGTGGTGAATCCCGTTATGAAGCAGATTTCATCCCACTTAGATTTTGAGTAAACCCAGATTTTGAAATACTAGGTTTTCTTTTCATAAAGGTTTAATTTCATGACAGAACCCAAATATATCCAGAAGCTGTGCTCAGTTCTTTGGGAGAACGCAAAAACCTACAAACAAACCAAAAAATAATGGCGACCTTATTTGCATTTCCCGTATTTCAGTAGCAGACAGATGTATCAGGCATGTTTTTTTTTTGTTTTTTTGAGACAGAGTCTTGCTCTGTTGCCTAGGCTGGAGTGCAATGGCATGATCTTGGCTCACTGCAACCCCCGCTTCCCGGGTTCAAGTGATTCTCCTGCCTCAGCCTCCCAAGTAGCTGGGATTACAGGCACCCACCACCACGCCCAGCTAATTTTTGTATTTTTAGTAGAGACGGGGTTTCACCACATTGGCCTGGCTGGTCTCGAACTCCTGACCTCGTGATCCACCCTCTTTGGCCTCCCAAAGTGCTTGGATTCCAGGCGTGAGCCACTGCCCCCAGCCAGGCGTGTTCTTTACATAGCTGCCTCCCCAGCCATACCTAAGTAGGATTCCGTTTTCGCACCATGCGAGTGTGGTGCCCAGTGTGTGGTTGGCCCACCTGAGGCCAATCTGGCCTCAGAGAGTCCTGAAGCTAGTGTCCCGTGTGCTGCAATCTCAGCCACCTTCCTCATTGACCGTTTCTTTTCTTTTCTTCTTTTTTTTGAGATGGAGTCTCACTCTTGTTGCCCAGGCTGGAGTGCAGTGGTGCAATCTCGACTCACTGCAACCTCTGTCTCCCGGGTTCAAGCGATTCTCCTGCCTCAGTCTCCCAAGTAGCTGGGATTTACAGGCATCCGCCACCACGCCTGGCTAATTTTTTTTGTATTTTTAGTGGAGATGGGGTTTCACCACATTGGACAGGCTGGTCTCAAACTCTTGACCTCAAGTGATCCGCCCTCCTTGGCCTCCCAAAGTACTGAGATGACAGGCCCGATCCCCCGCGCCCTCACTGACTGTTTCTTAGGGATATCCTTTTCTCTCCCGTCTTGTGCAGGTCCAAACTGAAGACGGTGCATGAGCGGATCCCCTTGGCTGGACTGAGCAAGCTTCCCAGTGTCCCTCAGATTGCAAAGGTGAGAAACCAACCAACCTGTGAGAGAAGGCAGCTTCCTCTCTCAGCCCAGGGCTGGCCTCTGGAGTGGGGTGCAGGCGTATCCTGGGTAGGCTCAGCCCTTAGGGAAGGGGTGGCCGCTTTACTCTTTGGCTCTTGACCGCACTGATGGGGGTCCGGGAGGGCTGTGGGCAGATGCCTCTGCCTTTCCTACATCCTCCATAGCTCATCCTTGTTGTGGAGGCTGCTTAGAAACAGTATCCTCCATGAACAGCTAGTTTGGGAGGTGAGAGAAGTAGAAAGACGGGGCCGGATGTGCTGAGCGCTGTAGGACGTCCGTGGAGGGGTGGGGGCGGTGTGGCCAGGGGAGCCTTCACAGCAGAGGAGAGGCCTGAGTTGGGCTGAAGGATGATCCAGATTGAGCACCCCCTTGAGTGAGGAGCCTGCGAACCTGGGAACTGAGTTAGCAAAGTGGGGTAAGCGAGATAGCTGGGTTGGTTGGACCCTCACTCTGGGAGCAGGAATGTCACAGAATTGTGCTGGATACGTTTGGTGGCAGTCGTGGGCTGGATAGTTTTTGGCCTTGTCTTCAGGCCGGAACGGAGACGAGCCTCAGGCTTTGTCTAATCCCTTCCCACACTTTATCAGCAAACCCCGGAAAGGGTAGTCGACTTGCTTGGGCACGTGTTAGTGAGCAGCAGTCAGAATGCCAGCCCAGGCCTCCTGACCCACGTGCCTCGCCCTCCCATGCTGCGTTGTCCTGGTGGGCAGAGGAGCCCAGATGTCCCTACAGATGTCATCCCTGACCTCCGTGTTCTTCTCCCTTTCAGGCTTTCTGTGATGATGCAGTGGGACTGAGATTCAACCCTGTCCTGTACCCCAAGGTGAGGACCTTCATGCCTCCCAGCACAGGGGCCCTGCCACTCGGCGAGGATTTGCAGACCTGTGGCTTTTTGGGGGAGTTCTCTGCATCGTAGTGGGGTTTCATGGGGTCTCCATGATAAGCTTCCATGTCTCCCTCTCTCCCTGCCCACCCCTTCACAAGCTGGTCCACTGGGAACCCATCCTCAGCCATGCCCGGGTCTCTGGCCCAGCTGAGTTGGTCCCCAGGCTGCTGTGAAGGTGACAGAGGGTAGCAGTGTTGTAGCTTCTCCAGCACACCTCAGTGGTACCTCCCTGAGGCCAGTGCTGCAGGGGGACGTGACTCTGTCGCTGGCGGCTGGGCAGATCCAGTCTGCTGTCCCAGAGGGGCGGGAGGTACAGCAGGCAGACGCTCACAAAGGAGAGAAAGGCCAGACAGCTGCCCCCCGCATTGCCCGTGTTACTGGTTACTGCAGCTCTCAGGCCGTATGAGCCTCTGCTGCCTTCATTTATAAACTGGCTGGTTTTCTGATACCAGTTTCCTTTGCATGGGTCTGATATTGACCCCAGTTCTCATATGGGAATGTGAGTGGGAAGAGAAGCAATAGTAATAAACCCACTGAAGAATAATTGTGGCATGAGAGGACTTACGTCCCCCACGGACAGTGAATTGCTTGAAATTGGCCACAGGAAAAGACCCCGTGCATCGGCTGCCTCTTCATGGGCCGGCAGGCTCTGGAGAGGGAAAACGGAAGCAGAGCCGTGCTTCTGAGCTTCTGCCGTGGGTCACGCTACAGCAGCTGAGGCCTGCTGGGGCCGGCTCTGTCTATCCTCTGAGTCCCAACTCTGACAACCAGGACCCATGAGATGAAACGTCTGGTGAGGAAGAGAGGCCCCGTCCCAGCGGAGACATCCAGAATCCCCTGGAACAAACACCTTTTTTTTTTTTTTTTTTTTGAGACAGAGCCTTGCTCTGTCACCCAGGCTGGAGTGCAGTGGCGTAATCTCGGCTCACTGCAACCTCCACCTCCCGGGTTCAAGTGATTCTCCTGCCTCAGCCTCCCAAGTAGCTGGGACTGGAGGCGCCTGCCACCATGCCCGGCTAATTTTTGTATTTTTAGTAGAGACGGGTATTTCACCACGTTGGCCAGGATGGTCTCGAACTGACCTCAGGTGATCTACCCTCCTCAGCCTCCCAAAGTGCTGGGATGACAGGCGTGCGCCACCGCGCCCGGCTGGAACAAACGGTTTCAGTGTTCATGATTGGCATGTCACTCTCAGAAGCAGCCATGTATCCATCTGCAGTGGCTGAGCAATGGCGGAGTCCTCTCCTGCACAGAGCCTTTCGTCTTCCACGTGCCTCTGTTTCGCTATTTTAGCATCTGTTGATACCGGGAGCATGCTACACTTCATTGAACATTTTCTCTCATTGAGACTGACCTCCCCTTTATAATGACAACGGATTGAGTGGGGTTTAACCAAACATTAAAACCCCATCATAAAGGTCTAACTTAACTACAGGTTTGGCAATTTTGGTTGTCAACTCATAGCCGCCGAGAGAACCAATGATGTTTATTTGCCCAGTTCTCTCTATCGCTTGGAAAGCCTCGGGCCTTGGTAGTAATGGAAGAACAGCTGTATTTTCATGTTTTCTATATTTGAAGGACCGCTGAGTCCAGCTGGGACGTACATCTGGCTGAGATGCGCACATGTGTGTGTTTTTAAAATTTGCAGAGTTTAGAATGTCCTTTGGAAGTTCTCCATGGCCTGGTGCCTCTCCCTGGCAGGGCAGCTGTTCCTCCCCTGTGACTCACCCAGGCAGGAGTGGAGGGAGGCTCCAGTGCCCTCGCCGGGGGAGCTGCGGAGCGTCCGTTTCCCCAAGCAGCTGACAGCTGAGAGCCTCCCAGAGATAACACAGTGTGTGGCAACTTCACACAGGCCACAGATTCCAGCCAATAAGTTGTTCCTGGTTTGTTCTTCCTCTCGCATAACGTGTGGTTGAATCCCTCCTTTTTTTTTTTTTTCAAACGTCACATTTCATGTTGTCACCACTGTACTTCAAATCTACATTGTGCAAAGTGACCAGAAAGCACACCACGGTGATGGACCAAACTCTGAGATTGAACCTTTCACCCCAGTGCCTTCCTGGGCTCTTTTGATACTAAACATGTTTCTCATTCAAGTGAATTGAAATGCGTTAGTTGGGTTGATTCTCGGGAGCCTCATAAAAAAACAAAACAAAACAAAAACAAAGATATTGCGCCATCTTTGTTTAGTAATGTAATGTTTGTGTCTTTCGTAGCAAATAATTACTTCATTGAAGTTAAAACTTCCAAACGTAACTTATTAATAGTCTTCAAATTCAGCTCAGATCACTCACGTTGAAAGTACTCTGCTAAACACAGATAACTTAAAATAACTTTAACAGTTAATTGTCCATAACACCCACCAAGGTTGTTTTCCTAGACCAGTTTTAAGACGATCCATTAGTATTCCTTGCACAGGTGAAAAATGATACTCAGTTTTCTTGTCTTTTTATTTTGAATGTAAAAGTTGGAAGGGACCTTCAGGTTTCAAGTGTCCACACTGAGAATCCCTCCTTTTTATTGCTGAGATGGTCCCAACAGCTCCCAAATCTTTTCTTCCCCAGTAAGCTGGTTCAGCTCTGATATTTCTGGAGAGTCATATAGATGTTGATGATGATGGTGATGCTAGCTGCTTTGTGCTCAGTTCTTTCTTGTTGAATCGTCATAACCACACATCTGCATTTAACAGAAGAGGAAACCGAGCTCCAGAGAAGCAGCTCACTCAAAGCTACATAGGTAAAAACAGTAGATTCAAAGCTGAAGTTTAGGCTGGGCGTGGTGGCTCACGCCTGTAACCTCAGCACTTTGGGAGGCCGAGGTGGGTGGATCACGAGGTCAGGAGTTCGAGACCAGCCTGGCCAACATGGTGAAACCCCTGTCTCTACTAAAAATACAAAAATCAGCCGGCGTGATGGTGGGGGCCTGTAATCCCAGCTACTCAGGAGGCTGAGGCAGGAGACTCGCTTGAACCCGGGAGGCGGAGGTTGCAGTGAGCCGAGACCAAGCCACTGAACTCCAGCCTGGGGGACAGAGCGAGACTCCGCCTCAAAAAGAAACAAACAAAAAAACCCCAAAATAACTGGAGTTTAATTTTTCTGATCTCAGTCATCACCTCTGTGATGTGTGATGGAAAATGAGATAGGGCAGGAGTCAGGTTTTAAACATGTCTTCTTTGCCTATTGTATTGGGGTATGTTCCTCCTTAGCGTGGTCTCCTCAGAGACCTCTCATTTCATGTGGAGGGGATTGTGGTCGGGAGCGGTGACTTGCTGAGAATCGCGCTGCTGGTTGGAGGTGGAATTAGGCCTACAGTTGTCCTTGCTGACCAGTTTTGGGGTTCTGGCTTCACTTTGTACACCACAGATTCAACACGGGGGTCAAATAAACTGCTGGACACGTGTGCCCCCGAGCTTTGGCTGGCACATCTGGGCGGGAGTGGAATGAGTGATACAGCGGTTTGGTTCCTACTGGAGAAGCCCAAGTTCTAGAAGCTAGCTGACTCTGGAGCTGCCGCCTGACTGTCTCCTTACTATTTCTTTCCCTCCGTGCATGTGGAGGTTTCATACCCGGGGACACATTCTCTACCCAAATGGGTGCTTCTCCTTCCATGTGCTTTCTCTCTTGCTTCCGAATTGAACCAATGTTGATTTTTTTTCTTGCCGCATTTTCCAGGCCTCCCAGATGATCGTGTCCTATGATGAGCATGAAGTCAACAACACATTCAAATTCGGAGTCATTTATCAAAAAGCCAGGCAGGTAAGCAACACCGTCCATACCGGTGACCGTATCCCGTGGTTTCTCACTTAGGACTCTTTTTATCCCCACCCTGAACGCGGGAGCCCTGACCCGCGTTCTTAAGCATTTGGAATACAACGGTCCCATTTAAGGTATGAATTAGACTGGAGGTGGCAGAACTTTCCAGCAAGGCTGCTTCTTACCAAAAGGCCTGCACGTCCTTAAACAGTGATGTCGTTTTTTTCATATAGCAAATTCTCATTCTTCCCGGCTGCCTCGGCTTATATGTATTTGTGGGCTGCTGGTTATGAGAAAAACCAGACTAGGTTGAGGGAATGGAGGAGCATAGGCTGCTCTCTCCTTGCCCACATTTCTCCCCAGTGGGAACGAACTTTTTCTGCCCGAACTTGAGTGATGTGATGGATGGGTGGGTGCGTCTCTTCACGACTCTGTTCCGGGACGTCATGTTGGCAGCTTGAAGTCAACCGTGGTAGAAGTATTTACTCTATGGAAACTGGCAAACACCAGGGTTTCTATCTTCCTCCTTTGGAGAGCCAGTGACTCGAAATTTGCCAGCACACCACTGCTCAGCCTCCGTCTTTGGTAGCACTCACACGTTGCTTTGGAGTTAACTGGCCAGAATCATGTTTCTCAAAGTGTGTTCCGTGAATGCTGGTCTGATGGTGTACTCCGTGAGCAAATGACCTGGGGAGGTGTTGTCACTTGTGTGGGAACCTTTTAAAGGCTTTAAGAACCCCCAAGGTAAAGGACAATTTATAACTTTGTTGAACTTAGTGGTTTCCGTCCTTACACAAACTTCCCGTCTTCCCTACCTCTTTCCTACCACGAACATTTATTAACATCCCAAGTAGAGGGGTTAACCGAACACACGGTTAACCAAACACACTTTCCTCTTTGAGAGGAAAGTTCCATGCCCATTTCATCTTTGTATCATCTAAGAGCCTCGCATATAAATACACCTTCATATAAATACACTCCATTGTTATGTGAATTAATGAATGAATAAAAATGTCGGCCCTAGTAATGGCAGGTTAATAGTATCTTCTGATGTTATCTGTATTTTTTTTTTGCATGATGGTATCTTTCTTGGTTAGACGACACCTGATGTTCTCATTTAGAGATATTGGACCTTAAGAGACACGCGTTTGCTTAAAAATATTCTAATTAGATGAAGAGTTTAGGATCTGCAAGACTAACGCTGATGAATCTTATAATTTAAGGGAGATTATTCAGGTAGCTACTGTAATCATTTTCACATATTACATTTTTATTTTATATAGCTTTGCTAATAAAACCCCCTAATGAAAGTTCTTTGCTTGTGAAATTTACCAAAGCAGAGCTTGTAAGGTGATTATAATCCAATGTTCCAGCAAAGTTATAATTACTGAACATGAGCCATCCATCTCCGAGAGGGAGTCTGTGTATTGTTTATGTGCCTGATGCTGCTGTGGGGGAAAAAGCCAAGAAGATAATTTTTTTTTTTTAAAGAACCTAGGCAGATTGTTGTTTTGCACACCTGCCGCTGGGGGACATTTAATAAGAACATTTGTTGCCTCCAAGCCCTATGCTGGTCTCTGGATAGAAATGAGCTTCACCTAACTCTTGTGTTTGCTGTGCACTGTGCCGTGCACCCTGGGGGATACGGCGATGACTAAGACCCCTCCCTGAGTGCGTGGTCAATCTCAAGGCCAGTATCAAAGTAATGGCAAGGCTACTCTCAGGCTGGATGTGAATCCTGCAAGAGAAGTGCGTGTCCCAGAGCACACACGCTGGATTGTTTTTCTAGTGAGAGATGTAGGTTGCCTGGAGGCAGCTGCTCTTCCACACTCTGGCCTCATGACCTGGGGCAAGTAGGACATGCGGCTAGAGTTGTGACGCCTTCACGGCATGCTATAGATCAAGGATTGGCAAACTTTTTTGGGTAAAGGGCCAGAGAGTAAATATTTTAGATTTCATGGGCCTTGGAGTCTCTGTGACAGCCGCTCACCTTTGCCTTGCTGGTGCAGAAGTAGCAATAGACAATAGATAAATGAGCTGACCTGTCTGTGTTCCAATAAAACTTTATCGATAAACACAGGCAGCAGGCCAGACTCGGCCCCTGGGCTGCAGTTAGTTGACCCCTTCTAGAGTGCAGAGTTTCCCAGCCTTCAGACATTCACAGACCGTATCCGGGATCCGTATCATAGCATTTGTTTCACCCTATGCCACTGTTAAGATCTTTATCACACCTATACTGTTAACTGAATATTTTCTTCAAAAAGTTTTTTTGAAACTTCCGTGCATTTATTTTTTCTTTTTCTTTTTATTTTTTTGAGATGGAGTTTTGCTCTCGTTGCCTAAACTGGAGTGCAATGGCGCGATCTTGGCTCACTGCAACCTCCACCTCCCGGGTTCAAGCAATTCTTCTGCCTCAGTCCCCCTAGTAGCTCAGTATTACAGGCAGCGACCACCACACCTGGATAATTTTGTATTTGTAGTAGAGACGGGGTTTCACCATGTTGGTCAGGCTGGTCTCGAACTCCTGACCTCAGGTGATCCACCCACCTCGGCCTCCCAAAGTGCTGGGATTACAGGTGTGAGCCACCGTGCCCAGCCACGTGCATTTATTTTTAAAGGAAATTTTATATCACTCCTCTAACTGGAAAACCAGTATCATTTATCATGAAATGAAGGTAATTCTAAAAGAAATACTATAAAAAGCAAAATAAAATTATTGAACTCTACCAGATTCTGTTACCTGTTGAAGGCATGGGGCCTGAGGTCTGCTTTTTGTTGTTGTTATTGTTACAATTACCTTCTGAAGACATTCTGTTGAAGTGATTGGGTAGGCTAGAGTGTTTTTGTATCATCTGCAGCTCTTCACGGCAGCCTGTGCATGTTTGCAGAGCCTTCAACTGTTTGCAGATCCTGCCACTGTGGGTAGAGCCTGTTGATCAGGCCGAGTTTGAAGCCTGTTCCTGTTTGCAGAGCTCACTACTGTTTTCAGCTTTGTTTTTTACAAAATTGGGCGTGGTGGTGGGCACCTATAGTCCCAGCTACTTGGGAGTCTAAGGCAGGAGAATCGCTTGAACCTGGGAGGCAGAGGTTGCAGTGAGCCGAGATTGTGCCATCGCACTCCAGCCAGAGCAACAAGAGCGAAACTCCATCTCAAAAAAAAAAAAAAAATTACTAACCTTTTTATCTTTAGGTATTTGTAGATTCACATAGAGTTGTAAAAAATAATACAGTGAGATCTAATGTACCCTTTACCAGTAGATAATGTTTACACAAAGTAATGTCTTACAAAATGATGGCACAATACCGCAACCAGAATGTGGACATCAGTCTCCCAGCTCCGGTCCGTAACCCCTGACAACCGCTCATCTGTTCTCCAATTTCTAAAACATTGTCATTTCAAAAATGATATATAAATGGAGTCATATAGTATGTAACCATTTGACGTTGGCTTTTTTCCAGTCAGCAAGATGAATCCAGGTTCTTGGGTGTATCAATACTGTGTTCTTTTTCATTGCCGAGCAGTATTCCATGGTATTATAACTGTACCACAGTTCGTGTGTAACCACCCACTGAAAGCCATTTTTGGCTATTATGAATAAAGTTGCTGTGAACATCTGTATGTAGGTTTTTGTGTGAACATAAGTTTTCATTTCTCTGGGATAAATGCTTAGGAATACAGCTGCTGCGTTGTATGGTAATTATGTGTTTAGTTTTGTAAGAAACCGCCAGCTGGGCGAAGTGGCTCACACCTGTAATCCCAGCACTTTGGGAGGCCGAGGCGGGTGGATCACGAGGGCGGGAGATTGAGACCATCCTGGCTAACACGGTGAAACCCCGTCTCTCCTAAAAATACAAAAAAAAAAAATCAGCCAGGCGTGGTGGCGGGCGCCTGTAGTCCCAGCTACTCGGGAGGCTGAGGCAGGAGAATCGCTTGAACACAGGAGGCGGAGGTTGCAGTGAGCCGAGATTGCGCCACTGCACTCCAGCCTGGGTGACAGAGTGAGACTCTGTCTCAAAAAGACTCCATCTCAAAAAAAAAAGAAACTGCCAAACTGTTTTCAAGAGTGGTTCTTCTCACCAACAATGATCCAGTTTCTCTATAACCTTGCCAGCATTTGGTGTTGTGACTATTTTTTATTTTAGCCATTCTGATAGTTGTGTATCGATATCACCTTATGGTTTTAATTTGCATTTCTCGAATGGCTAATGATGTTGGACATCTTTTCATGTGCTTATTTGCCATCTGTATATCCTCTCAGGGGAAATGCCTGTTCATGTCTTTTTTATTTTTTTGAGACAGGGTCTCACTCTGTCACCCAGGCTGGAGTGCAGTGGTGTGATCTCGGCTCACTACAACCTCTGCCTCCCAGGTTCCAGTGATCCTCCCACCTCAGCCTCCCAGGTAGCTGGGACTGCAGGCACGTGCCACCATGCCCAGCTGATTTTTGCATTTTTAGTAGAGACGAAGTTTCGCCATGTCGGCCAGGCTGGTTTCGAACTCCAGACCTCAAGTGATCCGCCTGCCTTGGCCTCCCATAGTGCTGGAATTACAGGCATGAGCCACCGCCCCTGGCCGTTTTCATGTCTTTTGACCATTTTCTAATTGGATTTTTTTTTAACTGTTGAGTTAAAAATATTTTTTAAAATAACAGCTTTATTGAGCACATCAGCATAATTCTCATACCATATAATTCATAGTTATGTAATTTATATCTCAATAAAGTATACAATTCAGTGGTTTGTAGTGTAACCACAGAATTGTGCACCTGTCCTCACTACAGAACATTTTCATCACCCCCAAAAGAAACCCCACACTCACCAGCAGTCACTCCCCATCCCCCTTTCCTTTAGCTCCTGCCAACCCTAATCTAATTTCTGTCTCTATGGATTTGCCTATTCTAGACCTTTTGTAAATGGAATCATAATATGTGGCCTTTTGTGTCTGGTTTCTTTCACTCAGCGTAATGTTTTCAGGGTTTATCCAGGTCATAGTATGTATCAGCATGTTCTTTGTTTATGGCCAGATAATATTCCATTGTGTGGATAGCCCACATTTTGTCTATCTATTCATCGGAAGGACATTTGGGTTCTTTCTCCTTTAGGGCTATTACGAATAGTGCTGCTATTGATATTCATGTATACATCTTCTGTGGACATGGACGTGTTTTCATTTCTCTTTGGTATATACCTGAGAGTGAAGTTGCCGGATCCTATGGTGACTCTGTGTTTAGCCTTCGGTATATGCCTGGATCCTATGGTGACTCTGTGTTTTTGCCTTGATATATGCCTGGATCTATGCTGTGACTCTGTCCATGTGGTATATGCCTGGATCTATGGTGACTCTGTGTGTTTAACCTTGCGGTATATGCACTGGATCTATGGTGACTCTGTGTTTAACCTTCGGTATATGGTTTCGCCTTCGGTATATGCCTGGATCCTATGGTGACTCTGTGTTTAACCTTCGGTATATGCCTGGATCCTATGGTGACTCTGTGTTTAACCTTCGGTATATGCCTGGATCCTATGGTGACTCTGTGTTTAGCCTTCGGTATATGCCCAGGAGTGAAGTTGCTGGATCCTATGGTGATTCTGTGTTTCGCCTTCGGTATATGCCTGGATCCTATAGTGACTCTGTGTTTTGCCTTCGGTATATGCCTGGATCCTACGGTGACTCTGTGTTTCGCCTTCGGTATATGCCTGGATCCTATAGTGACTCTGTGGTTAGCCTTTGGTATATGCTCGGGAGTGAAGTTGCGGATCCTATGGTGACTCTGTGGTTAGCCTTCGGTATATGCCCGGGAGTGAAGTTGCCGAGTCATATGGTGACTCTACGTTTAGCCTTCGGTATATGCCCGGGAGTGAAGTCGCTGGATCCTATGGTGACTCTGTGTTTAGCCTTCGGTGTATGCCTGGGATAGAAGTTGCCGAGTCATATGGTGACTCTGCATTTAGCCTTTTGAGGAACTGCCGGACTGCTTTCCACAGTGGCTGTGTCATTTTCCATTTTCAGCAGCAGCGTGTGATGGTTCTGGTTTCTCCACACCCTCACCAACACTTGTTATTACCTTTTATTGCCTTTATTTTTCATTGTGGCCACCCTAGTAGGTGGGAAGTGGTATATCATTGTGGTTTTGATTACTTTAGAGTTTTGAGAGTTCTTTATATTTTCCTTTCTTTTTTTTTGAGACAGGGTCTCACTCTGTCACCCAGACTGGAGTGCAATGGCATGATCTTGGCTCACTGCAACCTCTGCTTCCCAGGCTCAAGCAATTCTCCTGTCTCAGTCTGCTGAGTAGCTGGGATTATAGGCACCCATCACCACGCCCAGTTACTTTTTGTATTTTTAGTAGAGATGGGGTTTCACCATGTTGGCCAGGCTGGTCTCGAATTCCTGACCTCAAGTGATCCACCCACCTCGGTCTCCCAAAGTGCTGGGAGTGAGTCTCCACCAGTCTCTCCTCCCTCTGCCCCAGTCCCACCGAGGGCAGCTACGGTGGATGTGCTGGGAGATAGGGAGAGAGGAAGAAAGGGACCAGGTGTCTGGGCAACCATATTCCTTCCTTTAGCATCACAAAGGATTTTTCTAATTCCTACCCTTATTCCTGTTTCTCTTTCAGACCCTGGAGGAGGAGCTATTTGGGAACAATGAGGAGAGCCCAGCTTTTAAGGAGTTCTTGGACCTGCTGGGGGACACGATCACACTGCAGGATTTCAAAGGGTGGGTTTTAGCCAAGTGACGGCTCCAGTTCCATCAACAAGGGCACTAGAGGAAGGGCAAGGGGCAGACAGCTCAGTCCTCAGGGAGCACATGTGAGAGTTAAAAACACACAAGAAATGAGGGATGGCTTTCCAGGATCTGATCGCTCCCTGCATTCCTAAGGAATCAGGGGTCCAAGGAGTGATCCAGTGTGGCAGACTTCCCTGAAGGCATTCACGTTTGGCCCCATGCTTGCCTTCCTACTTGCCTTCCTACTTGCCTTCCTACTTACCTTCCTACTTGCCTTCCTACTTGCCTTCCTACTTACCTTCCTACTTGCCTTCCTACTTGCCTTCCTACTTGCCTTCCTACTTGCCTTCCTACTTACCTTTGGCCCAGACCGAGAATGGGAGGAATCCACCTTCCCTGTCACTCACCTGCTCGGTGTGTGGGAAAGGGAGCCCCCTGCAGTTTTGGGGGGAAATGACCTGTTTTGTTTTATTTTTTATTTTTTTATTTTTGGAGACAGAGTCTTGCTTTGTCTATGCTTTTTTTTTTCCCCTTTGAGACGGAGTCTCACTCTGTCACCCAGGCTGGAGTGCAGTGGCACGATCTCGGCTTACTGCAACCTTCGCCTCCCGGGTTCATGCCATTCTCCTGCCTCAGCCTCCCGAGTAGCTGGGACTACAGGCGCCGCCACCACACCTGGCTAATTTTTTTGTATTTTTAGTAGAGACGGGGTTTCACCGTGTTAACCAGGATGGTCTCGATCTCCTGACCTTGTGATCTGCCTGCTTTGGCCTCCCAAAGTGCTGGGATTACAGATGTGAGCCACTGTGCCTGGCCTGCCTTTTTTTTTGAGACAGAGTCATGCTCTATCGCCAGGCTGGAGTGCAGTGGTGTGATCTCGGCTCACTGCAACCTTTGTCTCCTGGGTCCAAGTTATTCTTCTGCATCAGCCTCCCAAGTAGCTGGGATTACAGGCGCCCGCCACTACGCCCGGCTAATTTTTGTGTTTTAGTAGAGACAGGGTTTCACCATGTTGGTCAGGATGGTCTTGATCTTCTAACCTCGTAATCTACCCGCCTCGGCCTCCCAAAGTGCTGGGATTACAGGCGTGAGCCATTGCGCCTGCCCCAGTCTACGCTTTTTTAAGTGGATAGTAAGATAGAACACTGGGGCCATTGCTTGGAAAACTCTGACCCTTAATTTTCCTTGGCCAAGGCCACATTTGGGATGAGTCCAGACCTGGCCAGCCTATTTTGTCCTTGGTGGCTGGCACATGGCTCCGGGTCCCAGAATGCCTCACTCCAGCAGCCAGATTGACATGAGCTCCTCACATCGGGTGTGAAAATACCTAACCCAGAGCCTGGCACGCAGCAGAGGTTCACTAATCGCTTTCTTCCTCTGCTTCCTTCTCTATCCTTCTTCCTCCTTTTTCCTTTCCTCTCTTCCTCCATCTTCTCCCTCCCTCAAGGTCATCTTGGCTGTCTGGAGTCAGTCACACCCCGGATAAAACCCCCGCTCCACCACTTATGAGCTCTGTGACTTTGGATAAGTGACATGACCTCTACAAGCTTCGGTTTCCTCACTGTAAAAAGGGAGATAAAGGGCCAGGCGCAGTGGCTCACGCCTGTAATCCCAGCACTTTGGGAGGCTGAGGCGGGTGGATCACGAGGTCAGGAGTTCAAGACCAGCCTGGCCAATATGGGGAAACCCCGTCTCTACTAAAAATACAACACACACACACACACACACACACACTAGCCGGGTGTGGTAGCGTGCACCTGTAGTCCCAGCTACTCTGGAGGCTGAGGCAGGAGAATCTCTTGAACCTAAAAGGCGGAGGTTGCAGTGAGCCAAGATTGCGCCACTGCACTCCAGCCTAGGTGACAGAGAGACTCCCCCTAAAAAAAAAAAAAAAAAAAAAAAGGGAGATAAAGATAGTGTCAGCCCTACATGGTTTTGGGGGGAATTAAGATAAGATAATGCTCACCAAACACTTAAGCAAGTGCCATGCAGTGGTAGTCGTTACTGTTATTGTTCTTATTTTGCTATCTTTCATTGACTTTGAGATGCTATCATTATAAGACACATCCTGTGACAAAATGTGAAAAAATGACCAGGGATGGTGGGTCACACCTGTAATCCCAGCACTTTGGGAGGCCGAGACAGGTGGATCACCTGAGCCCAGCAGTTTGGGACTAGCCTGGGCAATATGATGAGACCCTGTCACTACAAAAATATGAAAAATTATAAAAATTAGGGCCAGGCACAGTGGCTCACGCCTGTAATCCCAGCACTCTGAGAGGCCAAGGTGGGCGGATCACGAGGTCGGGAGATCGAGACCATCCTGGCTAACACGGTGAAACCCCGTCTCTACTAAAAATACAAAAAATTAGCCGGGCGAGGTGGCGGGCGCCTGTAGTCCCAGCTACTCGGGAGGCTGAGGCAGGAGAATGGTGTGAACCCGGGAGGTGGAGCTTGCGGTGAGCCGAGATCCGGCCACTGCACTCCAGCCTGGGCGACAGAGCGAGATTCTGTCTCAAAAAAACCACAAAAAACAAAAAATTAGCCGACTGTTGTGGTGTGCTCCTGTGGTCCTGGCTATTTGGGAGGCTGAGGTGGGGAGGATCACATGAGCCCAGGAGGTTGAGGCTGCAGTGAACCGTGATTATACCATTGCACTCCAACGTGGATGATAGAGTGAACACTCGACTCAAACCAAAACAAAACATGGTCCTTAGAATAGGTGAAATACAGTATATTAAAGCCCAGAAGGTCCTCAGAGATATGAAATTCTATCCCTTTATTTTATGGAGGCCTAGAGAGACTAAATGAATTGTCCACAATCATGTGCTGATTTAGTGGCAGAAGCAGGTCTAGAACCCGGAGCTCCTGACCCCTTGTCCAGCATCCTTTCTGCCATGCCAGGCTGGACACATTTTCTGGCTTGAATTGTAGTGTTGGGGGTGCTGAGGTTCCAGGTCCATATTATTTCGTTTTCTTTCTTTTTTTTTTTTCCAAGACGGAGTGCCACAAGGCATGTGCCACCATGTGTGGCTAACTTCTGTATTTTTTTTTTTTTTTTTTTTTTTTTTTAGAGGGGGTCCCGCTCTGTCGCCCGCGCTGGAGTGCAATGGCCAGATCTCAGCTCACTGCAAACTCCGCCTCCCGGGTTTATGCCTTTCTCCTGCCTCAGCCTCCTGAGTAGCTGGGACTACAGGCGCCCGCCACCTTGCCCGGCTAGTTTTTTGTATTTTTTAGTAGAGACGGAGTTTCACTGTGTTAGCCAGGATGGTCTCGATCTCCTGACCTCATGATCCGCCCGTCTCAGCCTCCCAAAGTGCTGGGATTACAGGCTTAAGCCACCACGCCCGGCCCTAACTTTTGTATTTTTAGTAGAGATGGGGTTTCACCATGTTGGCCAGGCTGGTCTCGAACTGCTGACCTCAGGTGATCTGCCCGCCTCATCCTCCCAAAGTGCTGGCATGACAGGCGTGAGCCACTGGGCCTGGCCAGCTTTGTCTTTAAATAATGGATTTGTGGGTAGAGTGCCCAGGCTGATATACCTGGAAGAACAGACCTACCTGCTTTTCCCACATCACAGCTTGCCCTGCCCTCAGCTTTCCTGTCTTATCATGATAGAGTGAACCCCTGACTTAAGCCAAAACAAAACGTGGGGCTTAGGATAGGTGAAATACAGTATATGAAAACCCAGAAAGTTCTCCGAGATATGAAATTCTATCCCTTTATTTTATGGAGGCCTGGAGAGACTAAGCTCTGCTGCGTGTACTTAGGGGAGCTTGCATTAAGCTGCCTACTTTGCCTCATTGTCTTTTCTCCCCATCTCCTGCCTTGTTTTGTTACAGTTTCCGAGGAGGCCTGGATGTGACCCACGGACAGACGGGGGTGGAATCAGTGTACACGACATTCCGGGACAGGGAGATCATGTTTCATGTTTCCACAAAGCTGCCATTTACCGAGGGAGACGCCCAGCAGGTAACCTGGTTTGGGAGGGCTATGGGAGCCCAGGGCGTGCGAGGTGAAGGCCCGCTTCTGGTGTGACCTGCTAAGGGACTACGGCCCTCCCCATTTTCGTTCCCATAGCCGGCCAGTCGACGAGCTGCATAGCAGCGTCATAGTCCGTTCTGCTGCGTTTCTGGCCGAGGCTGCGTCTCAACGGTCTGTTCTGTTGCGTTTCTGGCTGAGGCCGTGCCTCAGTGGTCCGTTCTGTTGTGTCTCTGGCTGAGGCCGCGTCTCAGCCGTCCGTTCTGTTGCATTTCTGGCCGAGGCTGTGCCTCAGTGGCCCTGGGCAGGAGGCAGTGCAGGGCTTGTGGTTCTCCCACGTTGACTGATGGGAAAACTGCAGCCCACAGTGGTGACAAGACTTCCTTGAGGTTTCTCTGTTTATTAGGGGCAGAGCACAGAGCAGAGCCTGGGGGCCCTGGTCATAGACGGTGGTGGTAAGGTGTGCATGGTGGGGTTTGCAGATGGGGGCATGAAACCAGCTGTGCCACTTTGGGGCATGTGACTCTGGGCAAGCCAGTTAACTTTCTCATCTGTAAAATGGGGGTAACACCACCCACGATAGAGGGTTATTGTGGGGATTACATACATTTCTGACTAGGGTTCATACGATGCCCAACTCGTGGCCAGCTTCCCATGGAACAGCTGTTCACTGTCCAGCCCCTGGTCATTTTGTCCCCCTTCCTGCCGCAGTGACAGAAGGCTGGTTATTGTGTGAGATTCCCTCCCCACCCTCAGCTTTCCTCATCTCACAGGCTCCTCTCACCACACCTGCGGGAATTCAGCCTTGGCCTCCACCAGGGAGACCTGGATGAGACCCCTGTCCCCACGGCTTTCTGGGTGTGCCCCCCTTTGCTGCTCTGACAGCCATGTATCCCTGGGGAGAGCTGCAGCTGGTCCCCGGCTATTGCAAGCCCAGTTCCCCGAGCCTGCCTTCTGCCCCTTTTCAGTCTGGGAAAGTAAGAAATGCAGGTGGGCCTTTGCCCAAACTCTGACCTGTGTGTCTCTGAGCAGGAACTGGGGAGGGAGCACAGAGGGAAAATTGTAAACACAGTGCCTGGCTTCTTAGGAAAGAAGGAAATTGGCAAACGAGATTATGAGTTGGCTCTAAAATAGCTACTGAATGTTCCAGAAACAAATGGAAGCAGAATTCCTTTTGTATCCAAAGTGGGTTTTCATTCAATCTCTCACCTCCAGCCTCTCTGTTCCCTCATGGCCCCTCTCACCTGCTGCCCAGCCTGGGCCTGAGGTCTGTTCTCTCTGGGCCTTCTCGGTCTTGTGTATGTTTCTTGGGAAATACACGTTGGCACAGGGCTCGGCTCTTGGCAGGGACTGAGTAAATATTAGCTTTCTCTTCCTGAGAAATGGGAAGATGTGCGTGGAATAAGTGAGGTAAATTGTGTAAAAGCGCCCAGCACCGTGCTTAATGTATAACAGTGTTCAGGGAATGAGAAACTCAATGTGAAGGGACTGCATGCAGTAGGTGCTTAATAAAAGAACAAATGCATAGGCAGGCACCTAGCCTGGACTTGACGTACAGGAGAGGGTTTGTGTGTGTGTGTGTGTGTGAGAAGGGGTCTCACTCTGTCACCCAGGCTGGAGTACAGTGGTGCGATCATAGCTCACTGCAGCCTCGAACTTCAGGACAGGGTTAACATTTCATATCATGCATGAACAGCCCGACGTGGTTCCAGGGATACACCAGTTGCTTGGTGGCCGAGGTCACACCCAGAAGCACCTGGCCCTGCTTGGGATATGGAGTTATGGTTGGGAATCCTCCTTCCATCCCACCTGCGCCAAGCTAGGTCATCAGTGCTGTCATGATCTGCCACCTCATCACTCTCATTCACACCTTCAAGATTCCCTGACCTTCAAGATGTCTCCTCCTCCAGGAAGCCCTCTCAGGTTGCTGTTGGGCCCTGTGATTTCCCCTCCCCTCTATCTTCAAGATGTCTCCTCCTCCAGGAAGCCCTCTCAGGTTGCTGTCGGGCCCAGTGATTTCCCCTCCCGTCTGTCTCCAGAGCTGTCAGGCCTTTCGTGCACAGCAGCTGATTTAGCCCTTGCTGGCGGCCGACTTTGTTAGTTTTCTCAGGTGGCTTCTCCTGTGTTTGTATTTCTCCCAGATAAAGGACAGGCTTTACCAGGGCAAGACCCAGTCTTGCCTTTTAAATATTTTCGCCGAGTCCTGAGTCAGGGATCTACATGCTGTAGAGGTCAGTAAGATGCTCGCTAGTCTCCACCTAACAACTTGGCCATCTTCTCCATTTTTTTTTTTCCCTTTTTGGTGGCTTGTAAAGATTGAAAGAAGGTCAGGCACAGTGACTTACGCCTATAATCCCAGCACTTTGGAGGCTGAGGTGGGCTGGTCAGGAGTTTAAGACCAGCCTGGCCAACATGGTAAAACCTTGTCTCTATCAAAAAATACAGAAATTAGTGGGCGTAGTGGCACGCACCTGTAATCCCAGCTACTCGGGAGGCTAAGGTGGGAGAATCACTTGAACCCGGGAGGCGGAGGTTGCAGTGAGCCAAGATCGCGCCACTGCACTCCAGCCTGGGCAACAGAGTGAGACCCTGTCTCAAAAAAAAAAAAAGATTGAAAGAAGAACCCCCCTAGTTTTCCCCAAATAGGAAAGCAACTCAGAAGATACACAAAGCACGAAGCGTGTTCCATGCACTCCTCCCGTTGCTGCCCGGCATCAGTACTGCATTTTCATTCTTAAATTTCCAAAACAACCACCACGAGCTCTTCTTACTCAGAATTCTGGTGTCCTGTGTGCAAATGAAAGTGAACCCACTCTTTCCCCAAAACATCTTTCATGATGTTCCTAACTGGCTTATAACCTCTCAACACTTTTTATTTAGCTCCAGAGAAAGAGACACATTGGAAATGACATTGTGGCCATCATCTTCCAAGAGGAAAACACGCCGTTTGTCCCAGACATGATAGCCTCCAATTTCTTACATGCCTACATCGTTGTACAGGTCGAGACCCCAGGCACAGAGACCCCATCCTACAAGGTAAGGAGAACGCCTTGTGGGAGGAAGCGGTGGGCCTTGACACCTTATCCTGTGTGGATCCTATGATATCAGAAGGCACTAGTCCTCAGCAGTCAGAGATTCTCCATGAGGTCTCAGATTTCTGGGGTTTGGAGCTAGATTCTGGGTGGGGAGGACCTTCGAAAGCCACCTGATCCCCCTTGCTGCCTCCAGGCTCGGTGGCATCTTACTTGAGGGTTGAGGAGCTCTGAGTGTTGTATTTGGAATCTGGTAATGCCATTTGCTCGAGTAAGGCAGAGCTAGAATAAAGAAACAGCGTGGAAAGGACGAGCAGGAAAGGGTAGCAATAGAAGGGTGGTAACCAAGGAAAGAAAGAAAAAAAGTGTTTATGATGAGGGTGGAGAGGAGGGGCCTGGTAGACCCTGGCCACTGGGTGAGCCCCCGGCCTGGCTGTTTTGGACAAAGGTTGGATCTTCATTTAAAGAACTCCAGGGAGGCAGATACGCAAGCACCTGGGTCTGAACCTCCCAAGCAGCCACGGGTCTGTCAGATGGCTCGAAATCCTCGCCAGTGCAGACAGCGAGACAGAGCTGCTCATTGCCCCCGCAGTCCCCTGCTCCCTCATGGCTGGGTGGCTGACCGTCCCCTCCTCTGCTCCACCAGAAAGAATCTCAACCTCTTGGGCACAGTCTCTTGGAATTGCAGTGCTGTGGTGGGCACAGACTCAAGGGCAATAGACTGAGGCAGGGCTTTGAAGGTGAGGGTTAGTCAGTCTCTGACTCCCTGCAGATAAGTGCAAAATGCTGAATTTGTGCCCTTCCTTGGACTCCTGAAAAGAGAGGCCATACCTTAAATTCTCAAAGGGCTCCCTGCTCCGCGAAATATCAGGAACCGCTGTTCTAAGGGAGAGGAAAGATGAGCCTGTGATTGCTAATGGGAAACCGTGAAACCTGACAATGTTTCCCATCAAATAATTTCAGCCCATACTGATTCCTGGGGTTCAAGATGCCACCGCACTTCCACTCAGTTAAGTGCAAAATTCACGTCACCTTTTAAAACCAAATGTGAATCGTCAGAAGAAAATAAAAAGAGGCGGGCACGGTGGCGTACGCCTGTAATTCTAGTGCTTTGGGAGGCAGAGGCAGGAGGATTGTTTGAGGCCAGAAGTTCAAGACCAGCCTGGGCAACATAGCAAGACCCTGTCTATACAAACAAAACAAAACAAGCAACAGAAACCGAATAGCAACTCCATCCTGTTGAGGTTGATTCCTTTATTCCCAGGCTCATGCATCCCTGCCATTGAGCAGTTTTAGCTGAAGTTGGAGAAAACATGGTGTGGGCTTTGCTTCGCTTCACTTCGCTTCGCTTCGCTTCTCTTCTCTTCGCTTCGCTTCGCTTCGCTTCGCTTCGCTTCTCTTCTCTTCTCTTCTCTTCTCTTCTCCCCTTCCCTCCCCTCCCCTCCCCTCCCCTCCCCTCCCCTTTCCTTTCCTTTTTGAGACAGAGTCTTGCTCTGTTGCTCAGGCTGTTGCCCAGGCTGGAGTGCAGTGGCACAGGCTTGGCTCACTGCAACCTCTGCCTTCCAGGTTCAAGTGATTCTCCTGCCTCAGCCTCCCAAGTAGCTGGGATTGCAGGCATGCGCCACCACGCCCAGCTAATTTTTTGTATTTTTAGGAGAGACGGGTTTTCTCTATGTTGGCCAGGCTGGTCTTGAACTCCTGACCCCAAGTGATCCGCCTGCCTCTGCCTCCCAAAGTACTGGGATTACAGGCATGAGCCACTGTGCCCAGCCCATTTCTTGAAGGCTAGAGGATCACCTGCTTTGACTGAAATGGGCATTCAATTCAAACAGCTGCTTGATTCATGTGTTGGTCGAAGCAAGTTGACTCACTCAGCGCCTACTGTGCGCCAAGCACCAGGCTGGCATGGGGCTCGTGGAGGTAACAGAATCAGCCTCAGTGCCTTCCTGATGCCAGAGAAGGGACAGAGGAAGCAGGGAGTGCAGGTCAGCCACTGGGCAGCTGAACTAGTCAACTGCTTCTTTTAATAGACAGTTGAAGAGGAAGAACTACTGAGAAGGATCCTTGAAATGAAGCCATGTGATAGGAGGGCTCCCAGACCCTCTGGCAGAATGAGGCCTCCTGTAGACGTTCAGCATTTGCTTCTCTTTCCCAATAGGAAATGCATCTCAGCTAACCAGCTTCTCCACTCTCCCGAGACCTTAGCCGAGTGGTACACCCATACAGAGAAAAATCGGAGATCCCAAAAAGTGCCATCCCACCTCCAGCTTTGGTGCTAGAAGTCTTTATCCACTCTTCTTCTTCTTTTTTTTTTTTTTTTTTTTTTGAGACAGAGTCTTGCTCTGTCACCCAGGCTAAAGTACAGTGGTGTGATCTTGGCTCGCTGCAACCTCTGCCTCCCGGGTTCAAGCAATTCTTCTCCGTCAGCCTCCTGAGTAGCTGGGATTACAGGAGCCCACCACCATACATGGCTAATTTTTGTATTTTTGGTAGAGACGGGGTTTCACCATGTTGGCCAGACCAGCCTCGAACTCCTGCCCTTGTGATCCACCGGCCTCAGCCTCCCGAAGTGCTGGCATTGCAGGCGTGAACCATTGTGCCCAGCTGTCCTTACCCACTCTTCTAAGCCACGAAGCACAGCATCATACTCAGAGGGGTGATGAGAAGCAAAGAGGCAGGGCTCCTAGGAGGAGCAGGCTGTGGTACCTTGATTGTGCCCTCCACCTGCCAGGCAGACACTGAGGCTGGAAGGCAAGCTGTGTGAATGGGGCCAGGGAGAGGGGACCAGCCTTCCAAGGTACTCCCCAAAGCGTTGTCCATCCACACTTCTGGCAGCACCCCAGGTAATTAACAGACTGTGAGGAGGACCTGGTTAGATCCCCCAGCGGGCCTGGGGGAAACAGGACCTTAGCTGGCCCCTGCAGGCTCGGGCTATGGCAAAGACGGCTGAGATTTCCTCCCGGACTGAGCCAGCCCCCGGAGGCCTCCACTGGGGAGGAAGAGCTAAAGAAAGAAGAGTAAAGGAGGGACAGGGCTGGGTGTGTGCAGGAAGGGGATCCTCTTCTGTCCACGGAGGGGCTGGGCAGCCTGGGGTTCTGGTCCTGGCCCTGCCTCTGCTTCGTGACCTTGTTCCTTCCCTCTCTGGGCCTCCAGTTTTGTCTGTGTGAAATGAGGAAGTTGGAGTAGACACCCGTGGGCTGTTAGCCTGATACCCTTCGGGAGGGAAGGAGGCGTGCTTGAGTGTGTGTGTGAGAGTGTGTGTGTGTGTGTGTGTGCATGCACGTGCTTGAGAGAGTGTGTGTGTGTGCGCACACGCGTGCGCGTGCTTGAGTGTGTGTGTGTGTGTGTGTGTGTGTGTGGTGGGTTGCAAGGTGCTTTGGGGGAACTCTGTCTATTTCAGGAGCCCTTTACTGGGTGCAGGTCAGCAGGGGAAGTGAAAAGGCCACTGGCTGACAGTGGTTACCCCTTACCAGCTGCTTGGTCATGCCAGGCACCGTGCTGGGTCCTTAGACACACAGTCTTGAATCCTGACAAGCCCCTGGTGAGACAGGACCTCTCGTTGCCGGAGGAAATGGAAGCTGAGAGCTGAACCCACTTAAGGTCTGAGGCCGCAGAGCCAGGGAGCTGTGGAGCTGAGGTTCCTGTCTGGGTCTGCCTGCAGTCTTGCTCATTGAGCCATCAGAGCAGGCGAGACATTGGCTTCGTGGACTCGGGTGTGCACGGAGCATCACACTGGAGTTTTCAGAAATGAGTGTAGTCTTCATCCTACCAGCTTGGAAGGAAAGTCCAGCTCAGCCATCACCAGGACTACCCCCTTTCCCTCCCTGCAAATCCCTGGCTCCCACTCCAGAAGTCCTCAAAGGTGTCAGGAATCTCAGGTGAAGCCGACTGCTGGGGAGGGCCTCTTTGTAGCCCCCTCCCCGTTTCCCGTCATGACTTGTCTGTTGCTTGGACAGCGCTCTGTGCGCCACCGCGGCTCCCAGGGCACCCTTGGGTGTGGGGACTCTGTCAGGTTTTAAGCTTTCTGAGGTTCCCAGTGCATCCTCATGACTCACACCAAGCTCCCTCCTCCTTCCAGCCAGGCAGGTCCCTTCCCCAGAGTCACCTGCACCTGCCTCTCTCCCTCCAAGCCCTCGCTGGAGGCCCTCGCTGCATTTAGAAAACAGGAAGGTGGGGTTGTGTTTGGGCAACTTCTGCTTTCAGCCCAGTGACCCGGATGTCCCCAAGAGAGAGGAACAACAAAGGCCTGGCCGCCTGGTTGGAATGAGGTCAGGAGAGGCGCACAATGAGGATGGAAGGTGAAAGCACGTCACAAGGAAGGCCCCGGTCCCCTACGTGGCCCACAGGGCTCTGCTGTGGAACTGTCCCGCTGGAGGGTTGGACAGATTTGAGAATGTGTCTGAAGCCACTTACACAGTCAGCACAGACCACTCTAATGCAGGCTGGAAGATGACGGGGAGTAGGGGTGGGAAGGGGAGAGCTGGGGCTGCCCTCTGGCCTCTGTCCCAGGTGCCCGCAGTCTGCAGCCTCCCCGTCGCCTTCCCACACCCCCACCCCTGATTCTGGCTCTGTGACTGAATTCTTGACCTGGGCCGCCGGTGCCTGGTGGGTGGTGGTAGGGAACTGGGTTCAGCTGCTGGAGCCCAGCCAGAAATCACGTCAGCCGAACACGCACCATTTCCTGACTCCGGGCACTGCAATTCTGGCCGGGCAGACAGCCTCGAGCTTGGGAAGAGAAAGCCCGTATTGACCAGCTCTCTCCTGCTCTGTTTCCCCTCTGGACTCTGGCAGGGCCTTTCCTTGGCTCGGTGCCCAGCTGCCTGCTCAGCCACCCTGGCAGCCTCTCTGCATCTGCCCCACTTCACAGGCTGGGGAGGCTGGCAGCACGCCAGGGCCGGGCTCACGTCAGCGGCCGCACGGGGAAGGGAGGGCATCTCCCGAGAGCCCCACAGCCTCGTGGGCTGAGGACAGGTGAAACCAGGGCACCTCCGTGCAGAGGGAAGGCGGGGTGCGGGGCCCGTCCCACGCCTGGGAGACCCCCATGGAGAGAACCTGGATGCCGTCACTCGAAAGCTCAGGCTCGCTCAGGCTGCCAGAGGCGCGCACCCCGCCCTCAGTTCCTAGCCTGGGCCCCGGACTGGCTGACCCTGTGTGTGGGGCCAGGGCTCCCAAACACGGGTCCACTGGCTGCACGAGAGCTTCCAGGGGACCCTGCCTTTCCGATTTGGCAGGTTTAGGCCAGAACCCATGAACCCAGTATTTATTTTTAAACACCTGAAGCAATTTTGAAGCAATTCTGATTTATGGCCGAGCTGAGGAGTCAGGCTTGGGAGGAGAACCCCAGAGACGGGTCGGGAGAAGTCTGGATGCTCTGTTCCTCTGTGGCTAATCACCTGTGGGACTTGGGGGCTTCTCTGTGTGTCTCTGGGCCTCTGTTTCCTCATCAGGGAAAAGCGGTTCTCCCTGTGCCTTCTCAGTAGGATTAGCATCACTGTCAAATGAGGCCGTGAGATACCATCTCCCGGGCACTTGTGTGGCATTATAAATAGGGTCCTAGCCCCGTCCAGTCATCTTGCTTCTGGCCTCCAGGAACGCAGATGAGAGGCTGCAGCTGGCCCCGCACCGTCCGGCCCCACTTCTAGGAACAGGCTCGGGGCCTGCACCGGCGGTGCCCACAGGAGTATTTTGTTTGTGTTCTGGGAAGGGGAGGAGGGAGAAAGGGAGTAGCTTTGCTGTGAGGAGTGTGGCCCCCGTAGGGGCAGTGCCCGGCCCTTCCCTCCAGGTCCACACCATGACTCTGTTTCACGCAGGTCTCTGTCACTGCGCGGGAAGATGTGCCCACCTTTGGTCCACCTCTGCCCAGCCCCCCCGTTTTCCAGAAGGTAGGACACTCTTCCTTCTGCTCCTCTTGCACCCACAATGCCAGGTCTCAGTGCTTGAGTAGCAGTGGTTGGGATGGAGCCGAATTCAGGCTCAGAACGTTAGGGAGATCCTTTTGCAGGTTTGGGGGGAACCTCCTTTCTTGGGGTCTCTCCCCACCTCTTTTATGCTGCCAGTCTGGCCCAGCATAGGACCACTTGTCTGGGCGTTTGACCCTGGGGTTGCCTTTCTGCTGAAAGAAGGGTTTCTATGTCAGGCCCCGGTCAAGGAACCTTGGGCAAGAATGAGCTCCAGTCGTGGAAGCGCCGCTGTGGCTTCCCAGGACCAGGGAAGCGGGTTTCCCTGTGGGGATATTCGCAGGTGGGCTTGGCCTGGGCTAGAAATGATCCACTGTCAGAAGGGACCTTTCAGGGGTTCTCCCCACGCCCCCAGCTCTGCTGCCTGTCACCGTGGCTGAAGATCTTCCGGCAACAGCCGAGAATGACAGACCTGAGGGCCGTCTTGTCTGTTCCAGGGCCCGGAGTTCAGGGAGTTTCTGCTCACCAAGCTCACCAATGCCGAGAACGCCTGCTGCAAGTCGGACAAGTTTGCAAAGCTGGAGGTGAGAGTGTGGGTTCTGAAGGTCTCCCTCCCGCCCGCTGGGCCGCCTGTTAGCCAGCCTCATCCAGGGCTCCTCCATCTTTTTTTTTGAGACAGAGTCTCGCTTTGTCGCCCAGGCTGGAGTGCAGTGGCATGATCTCGGGACTCACTGCAACCTCTGCCTCCTAGGTTCCAGCAATTCTCTTGCCTCAGCCTCCTTAGTAGCTGGGATTACAGGCATGCGCCACCACACCCGGCTAATTTTTTTATCTTTAGTAGAGATGGGGTTTCTATATGTTGGCCAGGCTGGTCTTGAACTCCTAACCTCAGGTGATCCGCCCACCTCGGCCTCCCAGAGTGCCAGGATTACAGGCATAAGCCACTGCGCCTGGCCAATCGGTCATTTTTAAAGCACCTACTGTGTGTCAGGCCCTGTTCTGTTCTCTGGGATATGGGGATAAGTGAGACAGTTTCTATCCTTGGAGAGGACAGTGGGGGAAGAGCGGGGGGATCATTACCAAATAGACAGTTATAGTACAGTGTGCCAGCACTAGGCTGGGATGGAGGTCAGCACAGCTCAGATAGTGACTGCTTCTGCCTGTGGGGGACGGAGGGTGTGTTCAGGGAAGGCTTCCTGGAGGAGGTGGCTGATGAGCAGCTGAATCTTGATATCGGATGAACCTTCTGCCAGGAGGAAAGAGTGGGGAAGGGAGGGCCAACCTGGCATGGGAAACAGCATAAGCAAAGGCCAGGAAGAACCAGAGCGTAACGTCAGGAGGGTTTGCTGTGGCCGAAGGACCCACGTGGGCTGGAATGGTGGAGACTCAGCTGGAGATGTTGGTTGACTCAGATCCAGAAGGGCTTTGAGCTCGGGGAGGCGGGCTACTGGTAGAGTGCTTAGCAGGAGAGTGAGGGGCTCGGTGTGTGTGCCAGAGGGATTGCTCTCACAGTGGTGTCATTGAGAACAACAGGGACAGGGACAGGTTGCAGGGCAGGAGGTACAGGAAGGCGGGCAGTTAGAAGTTCTTTACAGGAATCCAGGAGAGATGACGAAGGCTTGTACGGTGTGGGAGGAAATAGTTTAGGGTCAAAGTTGGGAAGACTTGGTGGACTCCTGGTTGTAAGTGTTGGGGGACGTGGGATTGATTGTAGGGTGACTCTCGGGCCTGCAGCCTGGGCTCTTTGATGACACCGTGGCCGAGTTGTGTCTGCGAAGGCTGGGTTGCTGAAAGGGCCAGTCCTCGTCTGTGTGAATGGCGGCCCCGGGCGTCCGTGTGCGTGGCTCTGGACGAACGTCTGCATGGAGAGGAGCAGTGGGGAGTTGGGTGTGTGGATGTGGAACTGGGGCAGAGGGCCGGGCTGGGATCCTCCACCACCAGGGTGGAGCTGTGGCAGTGGTGGGATGACCCAGGGAGAAGGGCAGGGGGAGTACAGCAGGAGGCCAGGCGCACAGCTTTCGTCTTAGCTGCAGCATTTGTGAGCATGAAACTCAGCCCAGCTGTAGGTCCACACCGTTGCTGGGCCGGGCTGGGCAAAATGCCAGCGCCCAGGTCACGTATTTGTAGCTCACAGGAGAGGGCACATCTCGGCTCTCAGAGCCCGCTTCTCCATCCCCACCCTCTTCCCTTCTAGGACCGGACCAGGGCTGCCCTCCTGGACAACCTTCATGATGAGCTCCACGCCCACACACAGGCCATGCTGGGACTGGGCCCAGAGGAGGACAAGTTTGAGAATGGAGGCCACGGGGGGTTCCTGGAGTCTTTTAAGGTATGAGCGCCAAAGTGACTGATGGTTGCTGTGGGGTTGGGATTGGGGAAGAAAGGAAGTGGTCCAAGGTCCATGGGATCCTGACCTCAGAGCCCAAGGGCCAGCTAGAGGGGTGACAGGAAACGCAGGGGCATCCCAGGTGTTTGCAAAGGCGGGGGGCATTAGGAAGTGTGTGAGGCCGGAGCAGCCAACAGTTTCTTCAGCAGCCTCCCCTTCCTTCCTTGATCTCAGTCATCTCCTCCGGGCCCAGGAGTCTGATAAGCAGGGACAGGTGAAGAGGTAGCAGTCAGAGAGGAGCCAGAGCAAGCCAGGAACATCGGCGCTTTCACCTGCCTCCTCCTGGGTCGGGGAGCCCAGGGCAGAATGGCAGGAGCGAGGACCGCAGCCCTTACGGGTTTTCGTAGCTGCTGTGGGCGCCGCAATGATTCTTCCTAGCCAGCCAGCCGAGCATTGGAAGACCTGCCTGGGCGGGGGCTGTGGAACTATAGGCAAGTCCCTTGGGCCGTTACCAAGGGAGAAACTAACTAGAACAAGCTGTTAAAGGAAGCGGTGAGCTCCCCGTCCCTGGAGGTATTCAAGTGGAGCTTGGACGGCCCCCGAGCTGGTGTGCGGTAGAGAAGGTTTTTCGTCTTACGCTTGCTGAGTGCTCGTTGGTTCACACAGCACGTAGATCCAGCATCTGGCTTGAGTCTGGCTGTCAGCCTGTGCAGGTGGTGGAACGGGTCTCGTGTTCACGAACACACACGGGGACAGGATGAGGGACGCCACAGGCCTGCTCGGGTCCTCACACCGACGCAGAGGTAGAGCCTCATTTCAGACGCAGGTCTTCTGATTCTCAGGCCGGCGTTCTGCTGGACTGCCTGTTAGGGATTTGGAAGGCTCCCATCTGGGGGCATTTTGTGTAGGGCTTTATGGGGAATGATGTGTGGGGCCAAGGCGACACCCACCTCTATTAAAACCCCAGCTCTGTGGGATCCGGGGCAGTCTTTAAAGCCTCTTAAGGTGCAGCTTTCTTGTCAACGACATAAAGATAAGAAGCAGGACCCCTGTCAGAGCCATCATGAGAGTTCATTGATATCTTGCCTGGAAAATCCAGATTGCCTGGAATACAGTAAATGCTCAAAAATGTTAGCTGTTATTACGGTTATATAAAGTGAAAAGCCTCGCATACATTATCCCACCCGGAGACTCACAACTGCCCTCAGTGTCCTGGGAGGAAGGCTGTTATTTGGTGTGTAATGATTTTGGCATAATAATTCATACTCAGTTTTAATAATTATGGGCATAGTACTCCGTGTGAGGAAACCACGCCTCAAAGAGACAGAATCATTTGTGGGAGCAGGTCGAGTTGAATCCAGGTCAGCCGGGTTCTAAATCCTGTGCTTTTAACGGCTATGTGACACCACCTCCCACTTTCTGACTTTGTTAAGATTCCACCCACACTAGGCTGGGGCCCGGGCAGGCCTGGGGTCAGTCCCCCACTGCCTGGCTGGACCACAGAGAGCAGGGCACGGCTCCTCCGGCCCTGGTTGGGGCCAGCTGCCGAGATTCCTCTTGGGGTTGGGAAAAGGAGCTAAGCTGCTTGTCCAGGCTGGTGGGAGATTCCTGGGGCACCTGTTTGAGTTCTGAGGGACAGTGGGAGCCAGAGGGTGAAACAGGAGACACTGGGAGGTCAAAACGGAAGAGGGATGCGGAAGAAGAGGAACAGAGGAAGAGAGAGGGCGCCAGGTCGGACAACCCGGTGAGAGAGTGGAGAGTGTGAGATGCGGTAAATGGGAAAACGGGCTTGGGTCTGGGGCAGGCAGGAAGCGGGGACCACATCAAACCTTCCACAGGCTCTAGACTCTTCCTTCCAGAGGCTCCACCACACTCCATAGCCCACGTATCAAAATGTTCCGCATCCCTCAGTAAATGTAATTTATATAGAACTATAAGAGTTGAGGCCGGGTGCGGTGGCTCACGCCTGTAATCCCAACACTTTGGGAGGTCGAGGCGGGTGGATCACGAGGTCAGGAGATCGAGACCATCCTGGCCAACACGGTGAAACCCTGTCCCTACTAAAAATACAAAAATTAGCTGGGTGTGGTCGTGGGCGCCTGTAGTCCTAGCTACTGAGGGGCTGAGGCAGGAGAATCACTTGAACCCAGGAGACAGAGGTTGCAGTGAGCTGAGATCGTGCCATTGCACTCCAGCCTGGGTGACAGAGCAAGACTCTGTCCAAAAAAAACAAAAAACAAAAAACAAAACAAAAATTATCTGGGTGTGGTGGCGGGCGCCTGTAGTCCCAGCTACTCAGGAGGCTGATGCAGGAGAGTCGCTTGAACCCAGGAGGTGGAGCTTGCAGTGAGCCGAGATCGCGCCACTGCACTCCAGCCTGGCGACAGAGCGAGACTCTGTTTCAAAAAAAAAAAAAAAAAAAGGGTTGAGCTGCAGTTGGTGAGCCAACATAATGTTGTATCTTATAGACATTTAATGAAGCACTTGTTTTGAGTTCTGCAGGTTTCTTGTAGGAAGTTAACGATTGGTTTTTCAGGTTTCAAGTATTTCTATATCCTGGAGATACTTGTAGGCTGTGGACACTCTGCCCATGTTGTCCAGTGGAGGAGGTGGTCCAGCGGCTAAATACGGGTGACAGGTGTAAGGAGAGTGGCCTGAGGCCGCTCTGTCCAGTCCCCCGCCTCTGGCAGGAGTTGCAGTTGATCTGTGTTTGACTCCAGGGGGTCTGATGTATTCCTAGAGGAGCTTATAAGAGAGGAAACGCTTTAAGACTTTATGACGACTCATCTTTGATCCAGTGATCCAGGGAATTCTTTTCAACTAAATCCCTGCAACTGTAGGTTGAAGACAAGCCTGCTTCTAGATTCTGCTCTCACACCCACCTGAGGTAGCACCGTGGGGCGCAGGAGAGACTGGGACAGTCACATGGAGTAAGCTTCGGGGCCCTGACGGTCGTGACCAGATTTATTTTTTTTATTATTATCTTTTTTGAGACAGGGTCTTGCTCTGCCACCCAGGCTGGATTGCAATGGTGCGATCTCGGCTCACTGCAACCTCCGCCTCCTGGGTTCAAGTGATTGTCTTGCCTCAGCCTCCTGAGTAGCTGGAATTACAGGCGCCGCCACCACACCTGGCTAATTTTTGCATTTTTAGTAGAGATGGAGTTTCACCATCTTGGCCAGGCTAGTCTCGAACTCCTGACCTCGGGTGATCCGCCCACCTCAGCCTCCCAAAGTGCTAGGGTTACAGGTGTGAGCCACCGCGCCCGGCCATTTGTGACCAGCTTTTTTCCCTCCCAGCTGGGGAACACGAGTTCTCGTTCCCTGTCCCGTTCATCATTGCCGTCACATCTCCCAAGCGTGGAGGCCTGAGCTGGGGGCAGGCCAGGCTCAGCCGGATGGAGCTCTGGGGCCTGGGGTGGATTCTGATGTTTAGGCCACACCTGTGGTCAGGCCTGTGTGTCTGGCCCAGCTCAGGAAACCATCTCTAGTTTTGGTATTTTTTTTCCTGGGCACCTTGGGCAGTGCTGTTGTATCAACAGGACATTGCTTAGGGAGTTCACCCCCACCTTCCTGGGATCGCTCTTGAAAGAAGTGATATCTGAAATGATTCTAGAGAGAAGAGTTACATGCCTTTGTCTCTTCCTGTCAAAGTTTTTTTTTCTTTTTCTTTTTTTTGAGACGGAGTTTTGCTCTTATTGCCCAGGCCCAGGCTGGAGTGCATTGGTGCAATCTCAACTCACTGCAACCTCTGCCTCCCAGGTTCAAGTGATTCTCCTGCCTCAGCCTCCCAAGTAGCTGGGATTACAGGTGCCCACCACCATGCCCGGCTCATTTTTTGTATTTTTAGTAGAGACACCATCTTGGTGAGCCTGGTCTTGAACTCCTGACGCCAGGTGATCCCCCCATCTTGGCCTCCCAAAGTGCTGGGATTACAGGTATGAGCCACCGCACCCGGCCTCCTTCATGTCAAAGCTTTCGTCTCCCAGGCTGATGGGAACATCACTGAGAATCCCCGGGGCTGAAAGCCATCTCAGCCGTCCATCCTTGCTCCTAGTGAGGCTGTTCGTCCCCCACATCGGCACTGACTCTTGGTCTTTCTCCTGAGCAGCAGATGTGCCATTGCCCTGTGCTGTGCCGCCTGGCACCTCACCCCACTTAGAGCAGTTCCTCACAGCTCGCTTCTGTCCTCCTGGCTGTAATGGGAGCCTTTCTCCCATGAGACACAGAACAGTTGGCTTTTGGACATCTAGACCTACTTTTCAAACTGAACTGCTTGGAGATATTCTCAGGAATCTGCTGGTTCTACAAACACTTCTAAAGTTTGCATTTTCATTTAGACTTAAAAAAAAAACTTCCAATTATAAAGACTAAACGTTTGGTCGGGCGCAGTGGCTCACGCCTGTAATCCCAGCACTTTGGGAGGCCGAGGTGGGTGGATCACCTGAGGTCAGGAGTTCGGGACCAGCCTGGCCAACATGGTGAAACCCCGTCTCTCCTAAAGATACAAACGTTAGATGGGCATAGTGGTGCACACCTGTGCTCCCAGCTACTTGGGAGGCCGAGGCAGGAGAATCACTTGAACCTGGGAGGCGAAGGTTGCAGTGAGCCAAGATGGCACCACTGCACAACAGAGCCAGACTCTGTCTCAAAACAAACAAACAAACAAACAAACAAACAAACAAACAGACAAACAAAAAGACTAAATGTTTGCAATGATCACTCCGAATTAAAAGATGTTCCTGTAGGATAAAGAGGTAAGGCCTGAAGCCTGCACTGCAAAGGCAGCCCATGGGACCATGGAGTTGGGGGTCTGTGAGTAGATTCTCGGGAGTTTTGCAAGAACAGCTTTCACGATGAAGGAACTGTCTGTTACTTGTGTTTGAAAGATGCTGATCTCCAGACCATTCTCAAATGCCATTCTCAGTCACCGCCAGCTGTTGATGAGGTTGTTACTGGTCCGTAATGCAATGAAAAGTGATGATACTTGCTGTGCTGACGTGA